TATAGCTTCCGAAGTTTATAGCACACTGACTATAGCGAACTAATAATATATACTCTTTGGCGCATCGCGTTGGTTATATTTACAGCCGTGTGGAGAGTTTCTCGAAAATTCAGATTACGTAACAATACAAAGCTATACCGGTGTTTATATACACAAATATATTGCTGATTCTTACACTCGAGAATCTTCTACAACTTTAAAGAATAGGTGGGAGTTTCGCAATACATATTTAACACTATAAGCTATGCATGTTTCCAAATATAAACTTAATCTAAACAAACGTTGATATTAAAATAAATATATAATAATAAATCCGTCACACTTTTAATGTAATTTTGTTTTTATGTTTGCTTCTTAATTCGCATATTGTTAAATAGCTGAAAGCCCATTGTAATTAACATAAAAGAGCAGACTAAGACGGAAACCCGTTAGGTACACCGATCAATCTGTTATATAAATCTCTTAGATAAATAAAAAAGTGACGTATATAATTAATCCATGTTCATTATTCAGCACAATATACTTACTGATCAAGTTATTTCGCCTGCCAATATGTCAAACAGGTTTGATTAATAAAAGCAGATTTTTTTTTTAAATTTACTAAGTGTACCTGGATATTGATTTGGACAGTAAAAGCAATTATTAACATCGTTCCACCAGTTTTGTAAGGCCTACTAACTATGGAGTAATACGAAGATGAGAAATTTGAAACGCTTTCATATAGTAATTATAATATTTTGATATGATTACATATAAAATGACCTACTTCAATAAGCAACCATGAAATAGTACAGACATCAAAGTATAATGTTAAGTCCTGATATTAAATTAACGTATATTGAATTAAGTAAAAATTAATCTTCAGTGGAGAGTTACTATCATAATTGTGAGTACTGTAAAATAGCTCCCTCGCAGTGGCTCAGCGGCAAGCTTCAATGTTTATAACCTGTAGAGGACTCAGGGTAGATAGCTTATTGTGTTGATTTGCGATAAAATAGTTTGTTTGATTGTTTTTGTGCAAAACTACACAATAGGCTAACATTTCTCTGTCCACTACAGGGAATCGAACCCCGAGTTTTACGTTGTAAGTTCGCAAACCTACCACTGTCCACTAGGGAATTAAAAAAATCGAAACTGTTTCATAATTGTAAAGTCTGTTAAGTTATCATCCATAGAAGACACGAAAATTAAGATATGATTCAACAATGTTTTTATTTGTTTGTTACATTGTGCGCAAAGCTACTCGAGGGTTATGTGCGCTAGCCATCCCTGATTCAGATGTGATAGACTAGAAAGAAGGCAGCTAGTCAACACCACCCACAGTCAACTCTTAGGCTACTTTTACCAACGAATAGTGGGATTGAGTGTAACGTTATAACGTTCGCACGGCTGAAAGAACCAACATTTTCAGTTACGAGATTGCGAGTCGAGCGCCCTAATCATCAGTTTATGCCAGGCCATTCAACAAAATTACGAGTCCAACAGAGTTAAGCTTGAATATAAAATTATCCGTAAATACAAACAACCTATGAGTATCTACCTCATGAATATAACTTTTATTTTTAGTAGTTATTTTCGTCCTACGAATAAGTTTGTTTGTTTTTGAAGTTAAGCACAAAGCTACACAATGGGCTATCTGTGCTCTGCCCACCACGGGTATCGAAACCCGGTTTCTAACGCTGTAAGTCCGCAGACATACCGCTGTGCCACTGGGGCTCCTACGAATAAGACAAACTGTTTAAGAACATTAACGTTCCCTATCTAGCAAAATAAAAACGCGTTTCTGTGATGTTATGTTACATACTTTGTAAACTCTCAGTTACAAATTTAGAGCTAGGAATAAACTGAATCTCAATTGGATCCTTTTAATTGCTTTTCTTCACAAAATGAAATGCGTTTTTCACTAGCGTTGAATTTTATATGACACTGGCAACCAACCATTCGATCTCTTTCAAAGGAAACAATAGTTCAACATCTCACTGTAATTATACATATTTTGGTGTTTTAAATGGAAATCTTGTTCATTATTTACTAAAAACTCCTCATCTTTATTAGGTAGAATTTAAACTTTTAAAACTTGGTCACTTGGAGACAAAATTATTCATCTTGTTCTCCTGCTGTTCTTTCTCCCTATATTTAAAAACACTTTTTTGTTTTTACGAAACCATGTTTTTGTGTCCTTTTTCATGTTTTTGGTTTTCTTTGGTTACTGAAGTTATAAATACTTCCTTAAAATTGGGGTTACATTAATTTAGCCAGTTCATAATTATTAAATATTCCACATTGATGTAATTTGAAATGTTTGGTTTCATTCCGATTTGAATGAAGGAAACTACAGTATGTAATTTACCATATACAATACTGTTAAATATGAAACCTGAGGTTTCACTAGTTAAAAAAAGGTTATATATTTCGGTGTTTGTAGAGCTCATAATATTAAACATATAATACACCATTTTCTTTAGCATTTTCGAATGTCAACTTACATTTAATGATCTAAAAATGCTCATTCCGCCATAGATTTGCAGCTTTATAGACTCAACAAATGTGATCAAAATCGCGCATTTTCACAAATCGTTTCCTTACCTTGCTAGTACTAATTCCACTGTATACTCAAGCCTTGAAGAAATGAAGTCTTCTAACCTAGTC